TCACCTTTTAAATTGTGGAGTAGTTCCCCTTTCTTTATGAATTATTTGGCCCTGGTATGTTTTAAGTACCCCAGGAAAAGTAAATCCAGGTGATCTTAAGAATATTTTAGAGACCGTTTTTGGCAAACTGGATTTAAAGACTGGCAGAATGGCTAACATGCCATGAAAATCCCAAAGCAATGTTCTAGAAACGTGTGTAAAACTACTAGAGCAAAAGTGGGTTTTTTTATGGTACAAGGTCTGACGCAGTCTTGAACTGACAAATTGACCGCTGAGCACTTCCAAATTTCAATCAGTAGTTGTGTTGTACCTTCCACTTTTCAGGATAAACAACCCACATTAAAAAGTGATATTGACTGACCAAGAAAGCTGAGCAATAAAGTTAGTGAACAGAATAAATATTGGCAAGTCTTTTCTCATGTCAAAACTCCTTAATTATATACCGGAAGGTATAATGTATGTACAGTAAACGTAATTAAATCTAAGAGGAATGAGGTTGGTCTGAAGCAAATGAAAAATGGGCAACCATCTGATATTCTTCACTTCCTGTTTCTTTTGGAATGGACAATTGGAAGACTTCATGGCTTGGTTCTTTTTCCCCCCTCCCTCCCAGGTCTAATGGATCCACTTACAGTGTAAGTAAAGAGGCTCTGAGTAAAACTGCAGGAATGTTTGGTAAGTGTGTTATTAAACGGATGGAATACTATTGTAAAGGTTGAGAGAATGTTTCCCAAATATAAACTCTTTTGGTATCCAGTTTGCACTGGTTCTTTTGTGAATAATGAATGCCCCATTGTCACATATGGCTTTGAACCTTTAGAACATAAGAACATAAGAGAAGACAGTGTTGGATCAGGCCAATGGCCCATCCAGTGCAACACTTTCTCACACAGTGGCCAAAAATACCAGGTGCCATCAGGAGGTCATTGTGTCATCATCATATCTTTTTTGGCAGTTTCAGATGGGAACCCTTGTCCTTCTACACTGTAGCGATGATACGATACCTTGACTGCTACAACTCCATGGATTCCAGCTACAGATCCACAAATTGATAGTACTGCTTTTCCACAACATGGTAGTTGGCTCAGGCTAGGAGTGCTGCACAAGGACAGCTTTCCTCCTGCCAGCAATGGAAAGTTTTGTACAGCCTTTCTAAAAATAAAAAATCCTTTAGCAAGTGAAGCTAGATGCTTTGCTAAGAAATTTGTGCCATATGTCCACTTTGTTCTACTTGTAACTTTGGATTTTGCAAAGAACTTGGATATTTTGGCAAGTGCTAGAACTAGTTGGCATAGCTGTATTTTTTAATTCTCTTGAACTCTATGTCACACCATTCATTTAAGCAGTGTTTGTCAAGCTGTTGCCCTCGACCCATTTAGTGGCTTTATGCAGATGGAAGCATACTGCTGTGTACATATTCCCAGCTTGTTGCACATGGATGACGCTGAAAAAATAATAATAAAACCCCTGTGTTTGCAAACCAGTTTACAGAACATGAAATTGACAGTTGAGGGATACAAAACCAGGTGATGAATGGGGTGCAGAAAAGTAATTAAATGCGTGTTCTGGTTCTACAAGTATAAATGCAACGAATTCGGTTCTAGGTAGCTACATTTTGTCCCATCCTTAATATGTACCTGTCCAGGGAGCATGTTAGCGAGCCCTCCGTATTCTAGGGAATCTTCAGGGCAGGAGGTTGACCTCATTTCAGATAAAAAGGGGGAAATGAAGAATGTTGAAAACGGGGTGTTTGGTCTGTTGCATTGACCTGCTACAGGCACAGCTTTTCAAGATTTATCTTTTGATATCTGATAACTTGGTAATTGACTGAATGAATCAGTGTTCATGGGTCACATAACTAATCTGAGTTTCACAGTGCAGGGTGGGGTTTTTTTCATGGTAGGTCTTATTTTTATTGCAGATTTGTAACGGAATGTTGACTGAGCTCTTCTGTGCCTCAGAGCTGTTGTGCTTTCTCTTTCCTTCCTTTAGAATCTAGGATACCTGTAAGGAAACCAGTAGCTGCGCGACTTTAACAGGAGGAAGCTTAAGTGGTTGGCCATGCACACTACGATTACAGAGAAGAGTTGGAAATGAAGCAGATTATGGAAAGAATAATACAGGAAGCTAGAGAATGCACTTTCCATCTTGGAAAAAAAACTTTGCCGGGAAGAACTCCAGAAATTGAGAAACTTTCATCAGCACTCTACGAACTTTTATTAGCCTTGATGCTTAAAATCATTTGTATACTTAAATTCTCCTTTAATAAACATCCTCTCCCTCCTTCACCCACGAGTTGGCATTTGACAGAATTGCACAGCGACATCTGAAATGTTAGGATAGGAAAGTAGTTGGTTTTATATAATTATTTTGTTTTTGTGGAGAAATGTAACTAAACAACTAATGATATAACATTAAAAGGAATATTTAAGGAAAAACTGACTGGTTACTATTTATGAAGAAATTAACCCTGTTCCTCCTGTAATACTAATCGCCCCTAAATGCCAATTCTGTAATGAACTGACTTTAAAAATTTGTATACGCAGCTCTTCCAGAATTAAAAACTGAAAAAAGAATCCTTTTTGGTTGCTTTCAACGAACACACAGCTTCCACTGATGATATGACCACTCTCTTGCTTTTACTCTTTATATGACAAAATTTTATCTCAAAGGTATTTTCTTAGGTCCTTGCATACCTATTTGGGAGTAGATCTTGTTGAAACAGCTACTTTGTTATAGATGTGCACAATATCAAGCTGTACTATGCTTGATTCATAGTGAAAAGTGAAAGGGTTAAGAGATCTTTTCCCCTTATATAACATGAAAATGTTTATAAACTCGTGGCTGAAACTGATTAGAACTCTGGAAGGTTTTGAAACAAGGGATTTGAGGTTGGATCTTTGAAATACAAATCCCTGTAGTTCGCAGAGTGTGCTCACTGCAAGACATCACTTACAGTTGAAACTAGCATGTAACTACTAGCCTCTATCTCACCTAAAGCAAAGGCTAAAGCCTCAGGCAGGATGCAACCACTGTGGGCATTTTGTAAATTTAGCAAAGCTGCAGATATACACGATGAAGAAAACATAACTAGGTGATGGGTTTTGCTAATGGAACTGCCGCTTGTGTCTTTACAATTTGGCAGTAAAAGACTAGATTTTTAGATCAGGCTAGATATTTATACCATCAGCCATAGTTTCTTGCAGTATTTGCTTTATTTACAAATAGCACACAGATGGAGGACTTAAAATCTGCTGCCTCATAGCAGATCACTAAAGAAAGATAGGATGCTTGAGTCAAGTCATACTGCTTTGTTTTTCTTTCCCTCAACCTTTCTTTCTAGTTGCCGCTTCCTCTTAGCTTGGGAGAGGAGGTCTTCTCCCAGTCCTGATGGGTGTGGAACAGAGCCTATCAGTAGGTCTTTTCCTAATACTTAGTCCCCAGTGAGGAAAAATGGCATTCTTTTGTTTATGGCCCTGCCTTCCATCTATCCTTCCATCTTGAGAGTCCCTTGGACTGCAAGAAGATCAAATCAGTCAATCCTAAAAGAAATCAACCCTGACTGTTCCCTGGAAGGCCAAATAATGAAACTGAAGCTCAAATACTTTGGCCACCAAATGAGAAGGGAGCACTCACTGGAGAAGACCCTGATGCTGGGAAAGATTGAAGGTCAAAGAAGACGGGGACGACAAAGGATGAGATGGTTGGACAGTGTCATAGATGCAACGAACATGAAATTGAGTAAACTTCAGAGGACAGCGGAAGACAGGAAGGCCTGGCGTGATCTGGTCCATGGGGTCGTGAAGAGTCGGACTCGACTGTGCGACTGAACAACAACAACAACAACTTCCATCTATCTGCAGTGATTGCATAGCACATTGTCAATGAGGGGCGAGTTCATTTTGCATCCCCCCCCCACTCTTAAGCATTGAGTCATCTGAACCTGCAGTGCTCTAACAGTCGGTCACCACAAATTTCTGTTCTCTGGATTCTTTGGCCAGTTCACGTTGCCAGAAGCAAGCCTAGGTCTCCCAGCGTGACCAACATTTATTAAAGCTAGTGGCATAGTGCTCCTCCAGTTTGCTGTTAGGAGGACTACGTGACCCAGTATTTTTATTCAGGTGGGTAGCTGTGTTGGTCTGAAGCAACAGGACAATGTTTGAGTCCAGTGGCACCTTCAAGACCAACAAAGTTTAATTCTGGGTATACACTTTTGTGTGCATTCACACCTCATCTGATTATACCCAGAATAAGAAATCTTATGCCCAGATTTAAACTTTGTTGGTCTTAAAGGTGCCACTGGATTCAAACTTTGTTCTAGTATTTTTTATGTTACAGAAAAGGGATTGTTTAAAATCAACAAATTTAGAGTTCACTGGCACCTTTAAGACCAACAAAGGTTTATCCAAGGTATGAGCTTTCGTGTACACGCACACTTTATTAAACACGTTAGAATGGCAGGTAAGGTTCAAACTTATAGCCAGAGAATGAACAGCAAATTAAAACATGCAACATGATGATGATCAAGATATGCAAAGTGACACTAAAATAAGATTATAGGTTCAACAGTTGTAAAGTAATAAATATGTCAAACTAGCCAATAAATGTACAAAATTAGAGTCCAGTGGCAGATAAATGTCATTCTCTGGCTAGAAGTTTGAACCTTGCCTGCCATTCTAACATATTTGAAAAAGCGTGCCTTGCACACGAAAGCTCATACCTTGAATAAACCTTTGTTGACTGGACTCTGAATTTGTTGTACTGCTCTGCTTCGGACCAAACATCTGACCAACTGGATCTGTTTAAAATCAAGCACAGCTTTTCCTCTCTCCGATCCCTGCAAGACAAGTGAGATTTGGCAAAATTGCTTCTTCCTCATTCTTCTCTGTCTCTGCACACCCGCCTGAAATCTTGGGAGGCCGAAATTTTATCCGGCTGTGCGAGGACTTTGCCGGCGTTATTTTAGTTCCTGCTACACAGAACCGCTTCGGGGTTTGTTCAAGCAGTCCGAGCAGCTACCGAGGGGAGCGCTACTCTCCTCTACGCGGAAAGGCCATACACTGGCGAGCCACCAGAGGCGCTGCTCTTCCCCAGAGCCTCGCAGCAAGGGCGTCACATAGAAGCCGGCCGGGGTCGGGGGGCCGCCGCTTTCCCGACGAAGCCGACTGGACGGGCCATGGGTTCGCCGGCGGTCGAGCTGGGTTTCGCGGAAGAGGCGGTGGATGCTTGGCGGCTGCGTCGGGAGCAGTTCCCCTCCAAGGTCGGCGGGAGGCCGGCTTGGCTGGGCGAAAGCGGCCTGCCCGGCCCATCCGAGCTGCGGTGCGGCGTTTGCGGACAGTCTTGCGCCTTCCTCCTGCAGCTCTACGCCCCTTTGCCCGACCGACCGGACGCCTTTCACAGAGGCCTCTTCCTCTTCGCCTGCCGCCAGCCCGCCTGCTACCGCCCCGCCGGCCCCGCCCCGGGCAGTCTGAGAGGTAAGGAGGGAGCTCGCAAGCCAGGCAGCCCTTCGGCTCGCTTCCTGCAAAGGGGAAAGGGAGAGGCCCTGCTACGGGCTCTGGTTGTGGAGCCACGTGGCTGGGGGCTGAAAGGAGAGGACCTTTAGAAGCAAGCAGATTCAGGGTGTCCTAATGTGCGGGCAGGAGCTGCGGTGGCTCAAGTGGTTAAGACGCTGGACTGCAGGCTGTGGAAGGTCAGTAGTTCAGCAGTTCGAGACCCGGGTGCCGCAAGACGGAGTGAGCTCCCATCTCTAGTTCCAGCTCCTGCCAACCTAGCAGTTCGAAAGCAAGAAATTGCAAGTAGATAAATAGGTACCACTTCGGTGGGAAGGTAACAGCGTTCCGTGCGCCTAGGTGTTTAGTCATGCCGGCCACATGACCACGGAAACGTCTTCGGACAGCGCTGGCTCTTCGGCTTTGAAACGGAGATGAGCACCGCAACCCTAGAGTCGGACTCGACTGGCTTTCGAGCAAGGGAACCTTTACCTTTAATGTGCAGGCCCAGTCCATTTGTTACATTCCCCCCCTCTACTGTAGCTTAGGCTGAATGACTGGCCCAGGGTCACCCACAGAGCTTCATGACTGACTGGTGACTTTAAAACATGCACACAAACTAACCGGGCCCTTCTCGTTCCTAATCTCACAGTCTAACCACTGTACCACATTGCCTCTCAAAACCAAATGTAGTATCTGTTTGTTTCTAAGGAGCCACAAGCATCTTTGTTGTGTATGCCTGTTTACATTAGTGTGTTAAGGTACTGTAAAGTCCTCTCCACAGAATCCACCATCAGAGCTGCTTTGGGCTGGTCATCTGTATCTTCTTAGTAGTGCATAGAATCTCAAATGCTGAGGAAGTGAGTTCTCCTCACCAGCAACATTTAGTTGACAGCTCCATAAAGTTATTGTCATAATTGAAATCTCGAAGACTGTTCTAGCAAAATGGGAATATGTCTTGTGCAGTTCTAAATCTTACAAATATGAACTGCGAGTTGCATAGCAACCTTTGGAAATCCTCGACTGCTGACATTTTTGGCAACCCAGTGACAGGGATCTAAGATTTAAAAATCAGAAATGCATTAGGGTTAATATTATCTGTCCATCTTAGTGGCATTGGTCCCCCCCCCCCAGTTTATGTATATACCGAAACAAATGATGTTGCAAACGGAAACATCAGGATCATATAGCAATTTAGCTTGATAGGTCAGTTGTAAATATAAGCAGTGAATATTGGAAAGCACACTTTCTTACAAAGACTTTTGTTACATTGATGAATGTTACAGAAGTATCTGATATTCTGCCCCTGCCTCCCTAGGGAGCTGGGAAACTTTGGGATTAGGGGATCTTCCTTCAAGAAAAGATTAAGGCGTGTGGTTGTAGTATGTCATACCAAGGACAGAAAGATGTAAATATAAATGGAAAATCGTTATACTCTTTCAGGTTATTCACTTTGATTTTTTTTTTTCTCTTCTAAGTTTTCAGGAATCAGTTACCAAGGAAGAATGACATTTATTCTTTTGAGCCTCCTCCTGAAGAGCCAACCCTGGAGGAGGTGCCGGGTGCAATTCTGCAACTGAAATGTGGGGCAAAACTGTGCAAAGTCTGTGGTTGTTTGGGTCCCAAAGTGTGCTCTAAATGTCACAAAGCTTATTACTGTAGCAAAGACCACCAGGTTAGGGATTGGAAAGCAGGACACAAACTGTCTTGTGCAAAGGCAGGTGAGTGATCTGAAACATCAGAAATCCATACAAATTTAGAAAAGTAATGCTTCCAGAATGATGCTTAAAGGAGTACTTAGGTCAGTCAGTGCATACCACTTGGATTTATATTGTTTGCACTCTAATCAGATCCAAAGTCAGATATCAGGGTGAGTCCTGGATGGGTGTTTTTTTCAGAAGCCATGTATCTGACCCCTGCTGTCCAGACAGGGAAAGGAATAGTGTCACTGCAGAGTTCTAATATCACTCATATCCTAAAAGACTAGCATAGTTTGAAGAAATTAACTGATATGTGACTCTCCTGTTAAAAAGTAGAGTCTGCTGTAATTGTATGGTAATATTTCTGGTTGAAAACTAGTTTTTCCAGCACCCTATTTTGAAGGATGTGAAGGGCCAAGTGATTTTGGGCTAACATGAAGCTGTAAGTATCACATAAAATCTCCATATTAGCAACTGGAATTTTTAAAAAATTTCTAATGTACAGAACTGATGCAAGCATAGTAGTTGTTTTCAGTGAGTGCAAATAGAAGAATATTGGTTGACTTGGAATTAATAGCTGGTTATAAAAGCCAAACAACGTTCAGTATTTATTCTGAAGCTTGTCTTTATTTTCTTCACTATTCCATGTTATATGTATATTAGCTGTCTACTGATTATATTGAAGCTGTTTACAAACCAGCCTCAAGAAAACAAGTTAAAATAATAAATATAACCCAAAATGTGAATATGGAAGAATAACTGGAAGCATTTTTGTTGTCAAAGGCTTTCAAAGCCGGAGTTCATTAGTTGTAGATTTTCTGGGCTGTATGGCCATGGTCTTGGCATTGTAGTACTTGACATTTTGCCACCAGCTGTGACTGTCATCCTCAGAAGTATAACACAGGGAGTACTCTCTGTGTCAATGTGAGAAGAAAAACGGTAGGCAGGTAATTTATATCTACTCAGGAAGGTGGGGTAGGGCTGAGACATGCTAATAGAGGAGCTTTCCTGAGGAGGTTCTTTTGCATATGGATGGGCTGTTGAAATTCTAATCTTATCTGTAGTGCTGTTGTAAGATGTAGAGCATTTTGTGTTTTTCAGGACAGGAAACCATGCCCTATTTATTTTTAAACTCTCTTCTTTCCTGTTGAAATTGTGTTTACGTTTATGGATTTCAATGGCTTCCCTGTGTAATATGACATGGTAATTGAATGTGTTGTCCAGCATTTCAGTGTCTTGGAATAAGATACTGTGTCCTGTTTGAGTTAGGCTATGTTCAGCCACTGCTGATTTTTCAGGTTGGCCAAGTCGGCAGTGTCTTTCATGTTCTTTTATTCTTGTCTGGATGCTACGATGTGTGGTCCCGATGTAAAACTGTCCACAACCTGTCCATTTTTGTTTCTGTTTTATAGATCAGGTGGATATTGCTATACCAGATCATAAATTTCTTTTCCCTGAGTATGAAATTGTAATAGAGCCTGAGGAAATGGAACCCTCCAGCGTTGGTGAAACAGAACAGAAAGATCTAGACAAAAATAAAGATCCGACATGTGCAGATAGTACACGTAAGTAGAAATAAGTTTCCATAAGCCTCCTTTGGTTCTCAAATTAAAATATGAGTTCATCATTCTTTAATTTATTGAAATTAAAACAGGAATCCTAATACACTTGTTTTCCGAACAATATATCAGTATCAATATATAACTAGGCTACTAATGGGGAAGGAAGACAGTACGATCTTGGAAGCGAAGTAGTGTTGGTACCAATGTTCCCTCTAAGCTGTGGAGTCTCATGAGCAAAAATTGGTGAGCTACTGGCATTAAAGTTGGGAGCAAGCCATTTGGTGCCTGCATTAATTAGTTTGCTCTGGAGCCATCCTTCTTGAGCTGAGACAAAAATGTGTGAGCCGGAGGCTAAAAAACTGTGAGCTAGCTCACTCTAACTCAACTTAGAGGGAACACTGGTTGGTACCTGGAAGGGAGGAGCCCACCAAGGAAGACTTTGCAGGGGAAGGTAGTGGCAAACCACCTCTGTCTCTCAGTTGCCATGTAAGCCTCTTGCTGGGGTCGCCATACGTGAGCCGTGACTTGATGGCACCTGATACACACACATAACATGCTGCTAACGGTCTTGTGTGCAAAGAGTACTAAAGTTAGTATGCTATTTATATCTAGTTAGTCCTAATGATAATTTGTTCTCTCTTGTCGTCATTTACTGTGCAAGCCTTTTAGAGCCCAGGCCAACAAAGAGCTGCCAGTTTGCTTGTGTATTTGCATAGCTGCTGAGCAGGATCCCGTCATGTTGCGTGTATCCAAGTTTGTGGCCCCACCCACTGTAAAAATGATAGTTGCACGGGGATAATTGTGAAGAAAATGTGTATCAGCATTGGATTATAACAAACAAGTGGGAGCCTGCAAAAATGTTCCACAGTTGGCTGGAAAGGTGAGAACAGGCCCCAGCTATTCTTGGGCAAGCCCAAAACAACCCGTTTCCAGGCATTCTGTGGCTCTGACAGTGCACCTGTTTGACAGGCCAAACAGGCACACACTCACTGCCCTGAGGATGCTTGCAAAGGGAAGACTGCTCTACACTTTGGCAACCGTTCTTTGGGCTTGTGAGAGTACACCTGCGGATTAACTCAGCCGGAATGCTCTCCACCCCAACAATGGGACAGAAGGGGGACCCATGAGGACTTTTGTGGGACAGGAAATTCTGCTTCCCACCCTGCCTTTCCCCTCAGAACCCCCCTCACTGGGGCCAGCAGCACTGCCAAAGCTTGAGCTCCCCTTGGCAGTGCGGAAATACTCAATGGTTCCTGTGGTCAGCAGGATGCTCGTTTTCCTCGGCTTTTTGCTGAGATAAGCAGTGAATTGCAGTAGAAAGGGGTGTTTGGGGAGGAGGTTAGAGCAAGAGCCTGCCAAGTATGCTTTCTGCTTCAACAAAGACCTCTATTGGGTGGCTGTGGGAGGAGAGCTTGGAGCAGAAAGCATGCTTGCAGGGGATTGATGAAAGAGGGCAGGGGAAGATAGGACAAGTCCATCCACTAAAATGCTGGATCTAGAATGTTATTACTGGTTGTTAACTGCTGTATATCTTTTTTTTTGTGCATTTTTAGAGGAAGCAGTTGAATTCCTAGACGAAAACGTGTTAGAGGCAATGGCAAAGCATGAAACTGAAGAAGACAAGATTTTTCAAAAGTTTAAAGAAAGAACATCTTTGGAACCAGAACAGGTTTTAAAACTGCATTAAATTTTTTGTTGCTGTTGTTGAAGTGTTTCGGCCAAGTTTAATGTCTTGGTAGTATAAACCTTGTTTTTGATATTGCTGGTGCCTTCATGACACTAAAGTATTTAGAATTGAACCTGGGATCAGAAATTTAGTCCAAATGATATCTTGATAGTGAAGATTAATGACGGATTGAAGGTTAGATTAACTAAGGATAACTGAAGTCTGCAACATTACTGTTTCCTTCTACAAAAAACATGCCAGAGTAGAAGAATTTGAGTTCTTGATATATCTAGATGAGATTATTCTGCAGGTGACAAAACAAGCAGCTATGCGATCGCTGTGGAGAAGGCTCAAGGATTTTTGTGGGGGTTGATGCTGGGGACACACAGCACAGTTCCAGCTGCTGACCTGTACTGCATTTTTTAAAAAGAATTTTATTAGTTTATACAAAGAAAGGGGGAAGGGGAAGAGAGGGGAGGAAAGAAAATGGACGGAAATATATAAAAATCCAATTTAGCATTCTGCATGCAAGTCTTCTCATTAGAATTTCACAACTATTTCATCAATCATTCTTATTATTCTTCACTTAAATATATTCTCTCAGTATTTGAGTTTTACCCAGTCATAAAATGCTCTCTGTACTGCATCTTCACTAGTAAATGTCTCAGCCCCAGAGAAAATTGTGTTTACTTAAACTATTTATATTCCATACTACCCAGTCTGCGTATGGCAGTTATAAATAACACAAACCGTTGATTTCAGTGGCACTAAAATGAAACTTGCTTTCTTTTGTTTAGGTCCTTTCTGTATAATATAATTGGCAACTTCTGATTTCTCTTGGATTTCAGATTATCAGATATTGCAGAGATAGAGAAGGTCCCATCTGGATTTCAGGGGAAAATATTCCTCTTGAGACCAACATCCCAAATTGTGTGTGTGGCGCTAAAAGAGTATTTGAATTCCAGGTATGTACATTTGGCTTGTGTGCACATGCCCTCTTGTCATGGCAAGACAAACTATTTACCACCTCTTACCACTTGATAGTCCAGTACTGTGAGACCTGCTCTGTGAGTTCATGGGGTTCAAGGTGCTCAGTCCAGGTTTGTTTTTTTAAAAAGCACAGAGGAAGAAGAAAATAGTTTCTAGCTAATCAGTGTTCTTAAATAAACATTCTGTTCTTTGCCTGTGGTGACCTGTTTCATACAGCTGACAAATTTCTCTTCTTCTCATGTCATTTTTAAGGGGTCTCAGAAGGGAGGTTTGACAGACTGCACTTTTTAAAAGCTTAGAAGTGCTGTACAAACAGAGTAAACAACTGTGAAGGATTAATTCTTCACAGAAACAGAGAACCTTGAATGACAGGCTGCTCCAAGCAATCTGGTTAGCATCAGCTGAGCAGAGACTTGAGAGCTGCATGCTGAGGAGAGTCAGTCAGATTTCTGCCTTGACTGAGTTGAGTACTAACAGTTTGATTTCAGCCCTGACTGAGAGCAGTTTAACACAGACAGGAGAACTTCGGAAAGTTGGGAAGGACCAGTGGGTAGTTAGGCAGAGACTCCCATTCGGGCCAATGAAAGGGGATAGATCTTCTGGAGTGAGAAGGAATTTCCCTACCCAGTCTAAACAGGATGATAGCTCTGAAGAGTGCAGAGATCACTGATCTGGCGTGGTTAGAAACTGCCTTTAGAGACCTTAAGAGTCACTTAAAAACTCAAGACCAGTACTGCTGTTTCAAGAGAAGGGGCTGGGTACTGTAAAGAGTGTACCAGCCTCCTGGAAACCAAAAGAGTCAGAGGATACTCAAAGAAAGTTTACCATAGTGTTTGGGGAAACACTGGAACAAAAGCCTCTCAACATAAAGATTTAAGTCACTGCGAAAAGCTTAAGAAACTCTCATTAGTCTGAAATATAAGAACTAAAGTCTGTGCATGTACTGGATATACCTCAGAAATTTCAACCCCTGATTTCACCTGACTTTTCCCCTCTATGTTAAATCAAAAATGTTGTTATTTTTGAATTTCAAAAGTCCTCAAGTGCCATTTAAGTTGTTTAAGTCAAAGAGGGCTCCCAATCCTTTCCTCAGGTTCCTGGTCTGAGCAGACAGTCAAAATATTACAATGTGACAAGGGTGGGACAGCCAGAGTTCCTCAGCAAAGAAGAAAACACATTGGTAGAGTGGCTCAGTCAGTAGGAGGCAGTAGGGACTTGACTAATCCAAGAGAGAGGAGGAAGGATGCAACTCTTCCTGCCTCAGAGGATAAAAGCCGGTAACATTTTTTCTAAGGGTCAAATAGGGTTACACTTGGGAATGGCAGGCAGCACCCTGGATTACTTTAAAATGTTTTTATTCTGCTCTGTTAGAGCTCAGATTGGCTTACAATGAAGTAAGACCCTTTCACAACTCAAAACCAGTATCTGCAGTTTCATGAGCCAAAACATAGTTGTAATGCAAAATAGCCTCCATTTTTGTCTGCTTGCAGTTTGCTTGACCAAACTCTTAGGCAAAGAAGATTCTGGGTTCTTGTTAGGCCTGGAATGTGCTATCTAACTATGCTGCTGTAAATCTTGGGGTCCCAGAGGCGCCTGCAAGTCTCTTGGTGCCTCTTAGTTCCCTTTAAGACCTGCATGGCTCTGATAACGGGAGAATTATGACCTTCACTCCCATGGCAGTACCAGCTGCAAACCCTTAGCAGTGTGGCCTTGGCGGCCATTAATTCATTAGTAACATTCCTAACTGTTTGCACCTGTGATGGGAGGAGGGAGTCGAGTTATCTTCTAGAAATAACTTTCGATTCCCCAGAACTGAACAACAAGTATTATGGGATATCCTTTGTTACCCTAGTTACTGGCACTTGTGACATCACTTTGAAGGGATTGTGAGTGGCTACCTGGCCGGAGCCCCTCGTGACCCCCCTTTTCTATAAGAACCTATGCCTTTGGTAACCAGTGTGGATTCTTTGGGTATTTTGGCCAGGCCTGGTCAATACTCAAAGCAACCCTCCATAATGCCTTGAAATACTTTACCATCCTAAGAGGAGATGCTGTGTGGACTTTGTTCTGTGCCTTGGACTTTGTTTTTGCACCTTGGACTCTGAAATGAGCAAAACCTTTTGCCTGCTGCTTGGAAGTAATTAGCTATGCTGGATATGCTTAGATTTTGTTTTGTTTCCCTCACTACCTAAAGTCTCGTGTTTTATAACTTTGCACAATTTTATTTAAATAAAAGAAATTATATTTTTACCTTGTCTGAGTTACTGAGCCTCAAGAGTTTTCAAAGCCTTAATCCTGTGTCTTGGACTACTTGGTCTCTTACTACCAATTGTGTTTCTTTGTCAAGCCTTGTAGTGGAAGCTGCAAAGCTTGGTTCTTGGAATTGTGTTCCTGTGAGGACCCTGGAGATTTCTAGTTACTTTACTCCAGGTGGACTGGGAACTAAAAAGTGACTTGGTGGCAGATACCTCTTGTTTAAGTTTTGTGCTTTGTGTCCCTTGTTTTAGCAGCCTTGGGTTCTGGAGGGGACCCCTGGTTGCTACAATAGTGCCACAAACCTAACCCCTGATCAACAATATTCCATTGTCCAAAAATTACCCGGAATCATTAAAAGCCCAGTCTTCCAAGTTTCTAAAACAAAGAGGAATTGAAGCTATTAAATTTATTCCAAAACTGTGAAGCTCCAACTAAAAATTCTGGCCCTCTCACAGGCACCATCCTCATCTCTCAATGAGAGGGAAGAGATGGGCGGTTCTATATTGGTAGACCATCAGGTTTCCATAAAATATGAGAACACAGGAAACTGCTTGTTTTCAAAACACTGAAGTATGCGAAACGCTGTACGTTTAACAAGAAGTTGTAGCAAAGCACTTTGTTATAATTGTACTAACTTATTATATATAAAATCTTACTTGAGCACTTCTTGTTGAACTTTCTGATCAGAATTAGCTACATGTAACATGAAATAAAGATTTTTCTGGAGTGCATAGAAGAAATGTGTGTGAATGTTTAAAACTGATCCAGTAGACAGCTCTGTATACCTCACTCATTTTGATAACACTACGCCTTGTGTTCCTAAGGTTATGCCACAACTGCTGAACCATCTAAAAGTTGACAGCCTCGGAGAAAGCATTGACTGGGGAACTCTGGCTATCTACACATGCACTGATAACTGTAATTTGGGCAACCAGTATACAGAAGAGTTCATTTGGAAACAGGACATATCAAGCTCTGTTTAATTTCTTCAAAACTCCATTTCCACTGGATCCTTTTAAAAGAAGTACATTAAAACTCTTATCAGAAGAAGCCTACAACTGTATTATTCTTGAACATTTGCATTATAATGGGAATGTAATGGGCAGAATAAACATACATTTCCACTGTAGGGTGGGTAGCAGATTGCCCAATGGCTGTAAAAGCAGACCTTCATGCTTCAATAAAATACTGTCAAGGTGAGATTAGCATAGTTACAGCAGATTCATGGTTTGGAAAAATTGTACCTGACCCGTTTTCTGCATAGCTAGAAGTTAGCTTTTCGTACAACTGATACAGCATAAAAATTATTTCAGGTTTTACAACTGTGAACTTTTACCTAGCTTGTACCTTGTGCAGATCTGGGAACTAAAAAATGCTTTAATTCAAGTGGCTTAGGAATGCAGTAGCAGAATCGAGTTGTTTGATTTCAGTTACTACTACAGTAGTAAAACTTTGCTATTCTGCTTGGTCAGCTGTAGTCCTAAACTGCAGCCAGAATAGCATGTCAGCTATAACACCAGTCACTAAACCTTTGCCACAAATGTATTTTGTCTAGAAACCCAATAGTTAAAGTAACAGGAATATACTGTCTTAAGAGCTGGAGGATTTCTATGGTCCCACATCAGCAAAATACTACATGTATACCCATATTCAAGAAAGTGGTTCATGTTTCTGTGAATGCAGTGTGTCTGTTCTTAACTACTAATAGGGGACAGGAGATGCTCACAATGTCAATTAAAATAGACTTCACTGGTTTAATTTCCACCTTATCCTTATATTATAAAGCCGATTTGGGGTGGCTTCTGTCCTATGGGGTGGCGAGATTCCATTCACGCCAAAATCAGCCGCCTCTACTGTCACTCACAGGTGGGTCCCTGGCCACTGGCTAGCTTCCCTTGCTGCGTTGGCTCGGTCCCGCCCACAGAGCCGCAGCCCAGCCTCTCACCCTCAGTGTGCGCTTCGGCAGCTGGGAAGCCGAGCAAGCCTGTGGAGGGAAATGCAGTTGGAGCCGCCTCCCCTTCCCACTCGGAGCTACCTGCCTCTCGCCCTCCCCGCGGCTGCAGGAAACCCGAGCAGGCCACTGGAAGGGGAGGTGGTTGAGAAGCCCTCCCCTTCCATCAGGGCCATCTTGCTCACCCTCCCTGCGCAACGGGCGGCTGCAGACGACCTCCGGAGGCCTCTGCACCACCTTTCCCTGCCTGGCCGCCGAGGCCGATGTGCGGGGAAAGCCCTCCGAGGCGTTTGAGCGGGAGCAGCTGCCGAGAGACCCCCCCCACCTCCTCCGAGGCAAGCAAGCCAGCGAGCCCTTTGCAGCCCTCCACGTTAGTTCTCCTGCCACCCCCCCCCCCAGGGCGGCAGAGCAGGAGAAGCCGCTCAAAGGCCCCCCGGCCCCATCCTGGCCCAGCTGGCGAGGCCAGCGAGCCAGGAGGGACCCAGGGAGCCCTTTCAGGCCCTTCCCCTGGGTTCTCCTGCCCTCCCGCTGAGGCGGACAACCAGAAGCTGCCCAGAGGCCCCCTCCTGGCCCGGCCGCCAAGCCAGGAAGGGGCTGGGAAATGCTTTGGGCGCTCCAGTCCGGAGAAGTGACCTTGCAGGAGGGACGGGGTGCCTTTTCCTCAGAGGCAGTGGGAGGGCGCCAGGCCAGGGCGATCAGAGTGGCCTCGCGCCACCACCATGGTCCAGCCAGCCAGGAAGGGTGCGCCATCGGGGTCTGTGGCGGTCTCGAAGGAAGAGGAGGTGAGTTCTCCTGATCTCCCGCCCTCTGGTAAGCAGGGGGGCTGGGTCATGGGGCCTTGGCCCACTGGGGCGGGGGTGGACGAGGCTGGGTGGCTTGGTCTGCCGGGGCCTTGACCACGTGGGGGGGCCAGGCTGGGTGCCTTTGACAAGCCAGGGTGGGAGAGGACGGACACGGGGGCCGGCAGCCAGGCAGCCAAACTTGCACCCATTCCACGGGGCAGGACTTGCCCAGGTGCCTTGGCCCGGTAGAGCCTCGGTCCGGTGGCACTGGCGTGGAGAGGGCGGAGGCCAAGTGGCCCATGCCCAAACAGCCAGCCTAGCGCTCATTGTCTTCACTCCCACAACGTGGTATAGATAATTTTATATTTGCCAGGATTAGTGAAGGGTGGTAGGATTAATGGAGCAGTCTACAGCCATTTGCTTTGTACAGTCCAAGCAGCCTATTTTTCTTCCTTAGAAATAACTCCACCTTCTGCTAGCAGGCCACAACACATTTATCTATACATCAGGCTGTAGTATAACATACCTTAGAGCACTGCAGCATACACTTCCACATTTCCCACCCTCTTATTGAAAACAGGTGGTGGCTCAAGTGGTTAAGACGCTGAACTGCAGGCTGTGGAAGGTCAGTAGTTCAGCGGTTCAAGACCCGGGTGCTGCAAGATAGGGTGAGCTCCTGTCTCTAGTTCCAGCTCCTGCCAACCTAGCAGTTCGAAAGCAAGAAATTGCAAGTAGATAAATAGGTACCACTTCGGTGGGAAGGTAACAGCGTTCCGTGCACCTTGGTGTTTAGTCATGCCGGCCACATGACCACGGAAACGTCTTCGGACAGCGCTGGCTCTTCGGCTTTGAAACGGAGATGAGCACCGCAACCCTAGAGTCGGATTCGACTGGCTTTCGAGCAAGGGAACCTTTACCTTTACCTTTTAAGCTCTATTATAGCATCACGGTGTAGGTGATTATCATGGTAGCTGATCCTTCAGAAATATTTTGTAGATTACATCCTAGCCCAACAGACGTGAGCTGTTTACCTGCTTTAGGTCTCTAGTCCAGGGAGGCAAGGATGGGATATAAAACCCAGGATGAAATATGAAGGCCAGTCAAATTGATTCAGAAGAATAACTGGGAAGGGTGGGTAGGGGGAAAGAGTATCAAGGGCCCTGAAGCAGCAGTAACTATACCATAGCTAATTAGATTCAAGCATTCCACCCTAGACTAGGAACCTATTCAAGAATCATGGCCTCAATCTCCATGGTAGTGGAACAAGCCCGCCTCCCCCTGTCTAGGACAGAAAGTGATCATTTGTATGGAACTGTGAAGCTTTCAAAGGCTACCACCAGGGATTGAGGCAGGAGGGAAAAAAGCAAAATGTTCACTCCACATTTGAATACCAGGTCTGACCAATACCTACCAGTATATCAGAGGCACCTAAAAAGGGGGTTTCTTTTAAGAAAACCACAAATGGCAAACACATTGTTTTAATACTGCGTTAAGAAAAATCTTATAAAAAACATTGCAATACATTTAAGCATTCTACAAGCATGCATTTAGTACATTAAACAGCAGCATAGGCCAATCAAATCCCCATGTTTATAAACAATATTTCCTATACATTTAAAACTCAAAAAGGTTTCCTAAAAGGAATATATACAGTCATCTGTTTTTATTATCAAGTTTTTTTCTGCCCTGCTTTTTTTTTGCTGAACACTGGAAATAGGGAATGTGTGTCTGTGGCACAAAGTAGGTCTAGAAATGTTGAATTAAAATTTGACCATAAAATCAATGGCTGAAAGACCTTAATACTGTAACCAAAGTATTGATTATTGGATAACATGGTTATTTTTCTCTTGAATCAACCTGCCAGCATGAGATTTCCAAATAAAAAGATTAGACATTAAAACGGTTTAAAAACTAAAATATAAATAAAAACTCAACGGTTCCTCCAAAGAGAGCCCCAATAAAGCAACTCACAGAAATTCAGTACAGACATAATACGCAAAGAGAGCTCCCCTTCCCATAAAGATCAGGGAATAGGCACTAACTGGGAAAAATACTCCAAGTCTGGACTGTTGCAGTCTGTAAATCTTCCACGTTTTACTGCTGTGCCATAGTCAATACCTTTTAAAATGTGCCAACTTCTTCGGTAAGCACTGGGAACTGTTACGTGGTCTTTCTGAATCCTTTTAAAATAGGATATATATTTTCAAATGCTTCATAAATTTCAGCTCTGACTTTTGCACCTGAAAGAAATCATGCTAGATATAAAACTGTGTTTCAACAACATACACAAAATGTTGTAGGATTACGAGGTTACTGACATTCAACAGTTCGTTATTTTCCTACAAGTATGGCAAATAATAATTGGAGAGCGTTAACACTGAATAAATGCATGAAGAGTTAACATTTATATTACAAGTTAGTGGCTAGAATCTGGCTCAAATACTTAACAAAATATCTAGGCCAACACCTAAATTGAGATTTGTTCTGTTACATTTAAAGAATTCTTTGCACTACAGTTTAGCTCCATATGTACTTTCAATGCAGTGATTTAATATGAGGCTTACCAGTTAAAACTACTTTCCCAGAAACAAATATAAGGAGGACAATTCTTGGCTTGATCATTCTGTAAATTAAACCAGGGAAAAGCTCCGGCTCATAACTGAAAGAAAAGACAAACACACCGTTCATGATTAAACTATTTAGTAAACTGAATAAATAAAACATTTAAAGCTGTAGGTATTTAGGATGCGAGTTTCAAAGTAGAAATACACCTTTTTTCTTTGTCTCAAAATGGGGGAAAATTTAGTTTAAAAGTGGCAGTTGTAGGAAGATCCTGTGGTTTGACATATGAAAATATGTTCTTGTATTCAGCTCAAAGAGTAAATAGTACTAAGCGGAGTTCAAACTAAATACTTATTTCACATTCTGAGCACTAGCCAATTATTTCTACCCCTACAACAATTTGAGAGCGCTGTCTCAGCCCCACCTACCTCACAGGGTGTCTGTTGTGGGGAGGGGAAGGGAAAGGAGATTGTAAGCTGCTCTTTGGGTAGTGAAGGGTGGGGTATAAATCCAATATCTTCTTTTTAAGAAGCTTTGCCTATGTTGGGGTAGTGTAAGTGACTGATTCTATTTCTCCAGCTATTCTGCTAGTCATTTGATTGTGTGCTTATTACTTCACTGAAACTGCTTACATTTATTTTAGGCGTGACAAATTTTCCAACTAAGCCAATCAAAAAGAGAGTCCTACTTGTTTGAGTGTTAGAGCAGGTTTGTGGTGTGGTATAGCCTCCTTAGAGAACATTGTAAACACAAAATACTGTCTGACCTTGGCAAGGTATTCTAGCAACTGCAGCATGCTAAGGAAGAATAAGATGGGCAACACAACAGTAAGCAGATCAGAGGGTATCACCAAGTAGTGTTTATCAAAAACAGCAGTAATCCTCTATTTACCTGCTAAATTGTTGGTGTGTGAGTACCAGTCCCTCAAGCCTGATGGGGAATTTTACATCACAACTGCCCACCATATTCTGAATCTTAAAATCCAAGAATTTGGCTGGGAAGCCCAACTTCTGCACAACTCTGGCATACTTTCTGGCAGCCAACCTTGACTGCTCTTCACTGGGAAACAAAAAAGCAAGCAGCGCTGTAATTTTTACCAAGGAAAATATTTAATTATTTAAAATTTTACATTATTTGTAGTCTGCCTTTCTCTCTGGGACTCAAGGCAGATTACACAGTGTACGTCAACACAGTCAATAGGATGAGACATCTAATAAACAATGTAATAGGACTAGAGAACTCTGAAACAATGCAACTACCGGTATTAGACATGACATATTAAAACAATGCAGAAAATAGTACATACAGCATAATACACATGTGTTTAGTGTACTAAACAACTGGTTATTCTTAACTAGTTCTGAATACCAGTGAGATTAATCGGAGATACTAAATCACCTTGCATACCTTTTAGCCCCTGTACACACCATTTTCCCAGAGCTGAATATAAGGGCAGTGGTACGTGGCTCTCTTATTCTCATAATCACAGCAGCAAAACGCTGAAATGCATATAGAAGGTTATTACTATAAGAACAGCAAATTGCTAATATACCTTTTCTAAAACATCATGCAATCTGCAAGACATTTAGCAAACCATTTTTGAGAAATGCACCTCTCGTCCTTCAGTTACCTTAATTCTGAAAGCATTTAAACTCAGAATAAAATTCTACCATAATACATTGTGGGAAACAGGCACCATCAAAGTCCTCAAACTCAGTTTAACAAATTTCCAGATGTTAATAGTCCACAGGTAACTTACACAGCCATCATTTCCATTTTAGAAAGCCATTTTGCAGCCCAATCTGTTTCACTGCACTACACAGGTGGTAAAGGAAGTCATTCAAACTTGTGTAAACATTATTCCTCCTTGTGGACAGATCAGTTACAAACAGCAATTACTGAGGGAAGATTACAACACTATTCAAGCAGAATACTTAAAAAGGGCAACAGGCCTATTTTTTGAAAGCCTCACCCCACAATTAGACAGCATGCTAAGGAAAGGCATTTGTCCAGCAAACAACTGTGTAGCTCTAGCATTCAGCTGCTTATCACAGACTCTTTAAAATGCAGTGGTGACCACCAGCAAGACTACTTCCTATTCCACCACCCTACAACATCTCACCACTTTGTAAAGCCTAATATGAAGTTTAAAAAGCTCCATCATCATCCCTCTCCCCACCAACAGCAAAGCAACCTCCAATTTCCTTTACTAGTATATACTAAATGAAAACTTGTTTAAAGGCGATATTCAACATACTGTACAGAGGAAAGCATTTTCAAGGAACTTGAACCACTACTCCCTTCAAAAATAAACACTTTTGTGCTCAGCAAATGTTAAATCAAGCCGCTGTAAGGCTTTTAAATGGATTTTTCAGTTTTTATTCGCTTTATTTCATCTGTAAAAGAGATTGGAACTGTTACTCAGTTTACTACCTAACTGAATCCAATAAAAGCGAGTCTCCTAAGATACTTCCTTACTATGATCTGGCAATGTTTAAATAATGGTGAGATCCCTCTGGGGATGCAACTGCAGTATCAGCCTTAAAGGACAGTTTGGAAGACTTCTGATCAAGAGCTGCTATGAAGTCTGTGGACTCTTCACATGGGATGTACTACATAACAAGAGCCGGAGTCAGAGGCAGGCCTCTCAAGACCTATGTTCAACTGTTGTCCGCTATTCTTTACCTTAGGGTTGTATTCAGCATTTCGAGCACGAAGGGCAATCGTTTTCAGGTCCAGTTTGCAGCCAAGATTTACTGTAGATACAATATTCCTAAAGGCAATTTAGAAACATGTTAGTCAAGGTAGGACTCCTCCATGTTTGAAATTATCCCCCATTTTATGATTGCATTTGAGGTGAGTCACCTCAAATGCCAACACAAAAGGACTCAAGCATGCCAGTTTTACATCTGACACTATTTCAGTAGTGTCCACTAACAGGAATATGCATCCTGTTTATTTTGATTTTATGATGATCATAAATGTATCTGCCACAAGACAGTCATCACAGTATTAATAGTATTAATGGAAAATAGGGTCACAGAAAGCAGCCAGGACATTTTTATTACAGCTTTGTCAAGATAACATCTAGATTGGAACCAATACTTGTAAAAGTACTTAGGTTAGTTATTCAGCTTTATTATTTTTATCCTCACTGTTCACTGATCTTTTATTGTATATTCCTGCACAGTGTATTAATAAATCACTTTCTATTTTGTGGTGTTCTTGAACTCTACGGCTTCAATCTGAACCCAGTACTTTGGCCTACATGGCTACAGACACCGAAGCAACTTGTTTTGAAACTCACCTTGTAAGTGTACAACCTTGCAGGGTTGACTTCCTTGATCTTAGTCCTGGGAGGCTTGGTCCCTTGGTCTCTAGCTGTTGGGGTAGTTAACAGGGCTGGTGGCAGTTCTACCCTGGGGTTTGTGGACTCACACTTCAGTGTTTTGGTTTTGTCTTACCCAATCCATCGCCCTTAAGTGGGATCTTGGCCTTTAAGGTCCTTTGACACCCCCTTTGTGCAGACTACACTTTCTCGGAGTTGTCATTACAAAAATCCCCCATGTATGTGCATAGTGTGTCTGACATGAGGCTATAGAAATGTAGTTCCATGCTTTGCACACTATCATTTGGGAAACAGATGTCCTGGTTAGGATTTATATAGGCTTGGATCCTAAGCAGTGTGAGCAGAGTCAGGCTAAAAGAAGGAAACTTCCTTGCCTCTCCTCTTCCTACTGCAATCGTCTGCTGTGGCCTCTGAAATTGTGCTTCTGTAGGTTGCTGGACCACCAGGAACAGGATGAGGGGCACAGCGGAAGTTGGCAGCAGGAGGGAGGGAACAGGCAAAAATTTCCCTCATACTGTTCTGTCAGAGGAGCTGCTTTTAGACTCATGGAACAGCATCAGACTATGAGCTACTGTATTTGGGAGAGCCATGATCAGCCTCAGGCTTAGTCAATATCCTAAGCCACACTATGACTTGGAGGCATAGCTGGAGTCTAGGAGCAAAGCAGTTGTATTTTTCACTCTTCCTTGTTCCAGGTTCGCCATGGTTTTTGCAGTATGCCAGGGCAGGACCTGAGCTGGGAAGACTTAAGGTACAGCTAAGCTGCACTCCTTCCCTAACATGACCCTGACAGCAACCAGTTCTATGCTAGCACTTCTCCAGATACGCCAGTGTGTTTTCAAGTTATGTTGGTATCTCTCTGTGTTCTATTTCTATAGATAGGTTCTATTGCTCTGTCTCTATAGAGGCAGGGCTGAGGAATGTGCTGCTGGTCTGTGATCACAAATATATTTATGGAGGACTTCCGGGGTTGCGGCAAAGTGGAGTGGTTGAGACTCGGGGAGCTCCTGAGAATCACCGACTCTCCACGCTCCTTAGGGGATTTTCGGGGGGTGGGGGGCCCAAAATCCCACCGGTCCTCCCGTAGAGAGGTCCGGTTGCTGAGGACTTGCCTTGGGCTCCCCGCGAGCGGCAGCAAGTGGGTGAAGCCCAGGATTGTCCTGAAGCGGAGTGTGGAGTGGAGCAGTCACGGAGCCATGACTGCGAAGCTTTGAACACCCCCCCACAAGAGAGTATGAGCCTCATCATAACAGCAATGAAGACCACCTTTATACCATGAGTACTTGGAAGTGTAACAATCAAGTCAGCAACCCTAGTTTTGAATAAGCCCCTTTGATTTCCCCAAAAAGTGAAGGACGCGGGGAGAGGATATCCCCTCCCCCCCCGCTTTCCCCCTCGGGAAGTGGCTGTGACGAGACCGGGATATTACAACTTACAAAAACAGTGCTAGGGGCAAAAAGACTCAGCCAAGGTTGGGTGAATATCTTTACTACTTTATTATTTTACTTTAATCTTATCTTTACTGAAGAAATATCTTTGTGACTACTGAATCAATTCCTTTTGTTTCTACGGTATGGGATTTAAAAAGGACTGTGATGAACAGTATTGAGACCATTTTCTTTAAAAAAAAGGATTATAAACATTAGGAACAGGGTTATATTCATCTTTGAGACTGTGCTTTATACTTAAAAACTGTAACAGGTTGACTGTTTCTTGAACATATAAAGAGATTGCACATTGTTTGGGCTATGCTGGAAGATTCTTGGATTTAAATATGGCTACCGGGACTGTTTTGAAAATGCAGTCACCTCTGTGAGACTTGCAGGAACTACAACTATAGAGACTAACTTTGCTGAATAGACTCAAATTTGGTTGAAATGTGGAAATGGCCTTGCAAAATTTGTGCAAAGCAGACAACTCAGATACTGCAGACAGTATGCAAGATTTCTGGAAACAATTTCAGAAGATTCTCCAAGACGCAATGCAAAAAGTGATAAAACAAGCCTTTGACAGACTTTACAATAAGCCAGAAGATTTTACAATCCAGCCAGAAATGGGAAACAGGAGAGAGGAACCACAGAATCAACAGACTTCTGCTGAAGAGCAAGATCCTAAACAAACTGAGCCACTAAATTGAACTTCTTTTGCAACTAAAGGGAAGATAAGAAGAAACTACACTGAACAAGTTAACAGGCCTATGGAAAATTGGACAATTCACTTAGCTTCTAAAATGATAAAAGACAATGCTCAAAAGGATTTAATTTACAGAATAATTACTTCATTAAATGAGAAAACAAGAAGATATACAAAGCAGGACTTTTCAAATATGCCAATAATTGAATACAGATGGGAAAGAACAAAGATAAACTGGCTTACTTACAAAGAAGAAAGGCACAGAATCATGACTTTAATGAAAAGGAAACCTCAGAAAAAGGAGAAAAGAATGAAATACTATAGAGTGATATAGAGTCTTGATTTGTGTGTAAATGACTAAAATGAGTTACAACTGAAATTGATTGAATAATACAATATAAGATCTTGAAGGCTAATAAAATTATAAAATAATAAATTGATTTTAAAATAAAAACTGAAATAAAATAATAATAATTGAAACAATGTTATATATAAATCATAGCTGCAAGTCATAAATAAATTAAGAAGGATTTGATGACCTGGCTTCTAGTGGAAATTTTAATATGATGTTATAATAGAAAATGATCACATCTTTTTCTTTATTTTATTTTCCTTTTGAATAGTGAAACACTCTGAGTAATATAAGCAATGCTGATTTAACTTTAATGCAAAAGAATTATAAATGATTTGGGAATTTGTATAAGAATTTAATATGAAGATAAAATATAAAATGTTATTTCAGAGTTGGTTAAGTACGTTATATTTTGTACTTATTTTGTAGAAATGTTAGCAGATTACCTAGATATATTATTATTTAGAAGGAAACGTATTGGTTGGCTTTCAGATACTTTTTTTTTAATTTAAATTTTTTATTGTTTTAAGTCAAAACTGTAAAGTTACGACATAATGCAGTTATACATGTTATCTAGATATTCTTATCAGAAATAATATCTTATTTAGAGGTTAGACCATAGAAAATGTATTTTTAATATATAAAGTTGCAATGATAATATCTTTAAGTATGATAAAATATTATAAAAATACTAAATAATGTTGTTATGAATGAGAATGATGATTTGATATTTGGATAATTTGTAATACTCTCATCTTTTATTCTTTTTTTCTGAAAAATTTCTAAAATTTCTATTAAAAAAACCTAAGTATTTTTATGGAGTACTTCACTTCAGTGTTTGAACTGACCCATGCCAATCAAGAAATATTTTGGGGGGCCAAGATCACCCGGAAGCTTTCATACCAACTACCGGATAAAACACTAGGGGTCCACCTAGTCCAGCATCCCATTTCCCCCACAGCCTCCAGACCAGATGCTTCCCGGAAGGCAACAGTTCTCACAGGCCGTTAACCATACAGTCACTAATTGAAAACATTGCTGGAGGATGGCAGGAAACAAAAGAGGAGAGCACACACTTACTGAAGCTGTGGTACAATCCCCGAGCTTTCAGAAGCAGGCGTTGCAGGAGTTATTGGGGTCATGGGAGTCATTGGAGATGGGTAGAGAGGTGTGGTTCCTGGCAAGGGAGCAGTAGTAAGCGTCTGAGAATGGAAGAGCTGTGGCGTCTGACCAGATACTCCCTGGGTTGGCTGGGACGTAGACTGCTGTGCGGCTGCTTGCTGCTGCTGCCTTTGCTGCTCTTCCAGTATAGATAAACTATTGGTGCTTTGAACAGGCTGCGGGGTGAGCCCTGTGCCATAAGGCATCATGGGACTGAAAATAGGGATGCCAGGAGTCATTGCACTCTGCAAGAAGACAATGCAAATTAGGCTGTAAATCTGGGCTATCATGAACAGGATCAACTATCTGTTCAATCACGTGATGAACAATGACTTATTCACTTATAATACTAGCTGTAGCAAGACAACCCCACCCCCTGTGTGGAGGGGAACATCTCAGTAATTAGGCCTACTGTATGCCACCTTATTGCCATATTATTTTACTCTAATCCAAACAGGGGAACTGAAATTCAAATCCCTTCGGATAAGAATCAAGCTGTTAATATATTAACAAAAGGAATATGGGATCTCTCATAAATATACTTTTACTGGCACTTGAACTATTTTATGAGTTTCTCACAGTTTTGATAGCACAGGGACATTGCCCCCCCCCCCAAAATCAGAAACACATTTCACAATTAGCATTTATGAGAACCATTTGCCGATTGAGAGGCCTTTGACTTCTGTTTTGAAATGAATACTGTATATTGTCTCAGGGGGCTGTCGGTCTGAACACACATGAAGCTGCCTCATACTGAATCAGACCCTTGGTCCATCAAGGTCAGTATGGTCTACTCAGATCATCAGCAGCTCTCCAAAGTCTCAGGTCAAGGTCTTTCACATCACCTGCTACCTGCTCTCCAGATAAGAAGTGGAGTGAGCACAGCAGCTGAAGTGTTAAGGATACTGAAGCAACAACAGTGAGAAATGGGAGGGAAGGCTAGCCCCCAAATCCATGGACTTTCAGAAGCCTTGAAATAGGTATGAGCAAAGAATCTGCTTTGAACACTCCATTCCCCCCCCCCCCAGAAAATTCATGAGTTGCCACATTTTTACCTGAGGGGATGCTAAACCCTGGGCATAGGGTGGCAAGCTGTTGTTTTGATCCATGACAGCAGTCACGTATCCAGTCAGGTGATATGTATTTCCACAAATGCAGTCCAAAAAGGCAATTTCACACCATCAGCCTTGAGGAAGTATCTTTGCCTAAAGTATCCCAATGAATAGCCATGCAGTCAGTTTTGACATATTTGGAAAGGCACCAGATCCTAGATGTCTATATCAAGGATTCCAAATCTGAAAGAGAAACAGTGTCATGACATACACGCAACATTCAGGAGTACAACTACTTATGGCCAATACTGTTACTCATGATCAGTGTTCCCTTTAAGCCAAGTTAGTGTGAGCTAGCTCAGTTTTTTAGCCTCCGGCTCACAGTGTCTTAGTTTAGGAAGGATGGCTCCAGAGCAAACTAATTTATGCAGTAGAGAAGAAGAGACTGAATTTATACCCCGCCCTTCACTACCCGAAGCAGTCTCAGAGTGGCTTACAATCCCTTTCCCTCCCCCTCCCTACAACAGACACCCTGTGAGGTAGGTGGGGCTGAGAGCTCTCTCTCAAGAACTGCCCTTGAGAGAACAACTCTGAAAGAACTTATGACTGACCCAAGGTCACACCAGCAGCTGCATGTGACGGTGGGGGGAATCAAACCTGGTACTCCAAGATCAGAGTCCTAACCACTACACCAAACTAGCCAAATCACTCACAACTTTAATGCCAGTAGCTCACAAAGTAGAATTTTTGCTTACAAGACTCCACAGCTTAGAGGGAGCACTGCTCATGACGTAATACAGCAGGCCTTGACAAATCTTCTTGGACTCTAGCAGCTAACCCAAATATTTAAGAGCCAGACTTGTTTTTCATCATCCAGGGTTTAGTATTTTAATAGCCATATTTTCTAGTTATTACTAGAAATATAATATTTCTGGGTAGGTTGAAGCCACTGAATAAAATGCCTTCCCCATTTTTTTTTCCAGTAAAGGGAAATTTTGGGCGAAAAAATGAAATATGTGTTAGGCTTACTTTTGTATCAAACTTAACCGCACTAGAAATCTGTTTCTGAAAATCCATACAACAAAAATTATGAGTTGCCAAATATTAAGTAACTAATTTAACTGTAAGAAATTTTCTTCCTCCTACAGCTCAAATTTTATTATTTATTTATTAAATTTTTGCTAGGCCTCCCTTCCCTTCAAGCAGGGCTCAGGGCGGCTTACAAAAGAATAATGTACAAAATTCTTTAATTTAAATCCAACATTAAAACCACCTAAAAACAGATCAATAAATAGGGACAAAATACATATACAAGATGGTGGAAAAAACTAGCTCCCCCGGCCTTCTTGGGGGGAGGGGTTGCGAGGGATGGGGAAGAGTGACAGATGTCATACTATCCCCGTTGCTGTCCTCAACCAAACACCTGGCAGAACATCTCTGCCTTGCATGCCCTGTGGAAAGGTAATGACTCCTGCAGGGCACAGATGTCTTCCGGCAGAGAGTTCCACCAGGTGGGGGCCAGGTACAATCTGGGTGAGCCCTAGTGCTGCCATGGATGACACTAGGTCCACTGCCTGCTGCGAGGAGGCAACATCAGCATGGACATTGAAGTCCCCGAGTAGCATAAGCCTCAGGAACTCCAATGCCCAGCCAGTAACCGCCTCAAGCAGGATCAGGAGGCTGTCCACTGGTATGCTAGGTGAACGGTACACCAGAAAAGACAGCCAAACTCACTTCAGAGTCCCACGCGAGGCCTACACAGTCAATGCTGGTGATCTTTGGGACAGGGAGTGCCCTGAAGGAAAAACTCTCACGAAGTGCCCTGAAGGAAAAACTCTCACCACCCCCCACCCCACTGTTCAAGACTGATGGAGGACCAAAAAACCTGGAAGAGAGAGCTCTTTTAAGGCAACAGTTTCACCATCTCTCGTCCAGGTCTCGGTCATGCATGCCAGGTCCACTTCTTGTGCTGCAATATAGTCTCGCAGCGTAAAGGTCTTATCGTTAATGAAGCTAGTTAATACTAAAATACTTCAGTTTCAGCTTTTTAATTCTAGCACTTTCATACCAATGCCAAACAACTGCCAGATGGTCAAGTGAGATATACTTCAAACAGCAACATCCTTGGAGAACCAAGTACATTGCTCCAAGTTGCAGTGTTAGATCCGGACCGTAACTCCCTTTCAATTGTGCTGGTGCTTGAGTTACAGTTATAATGCATGTGTGTTGAGTGGGGGAAATGTGCCCTCAAAATCCAAAACAAAGTGATTAGTCAAAAAGAAGTTGAGATGGAGAGAGTAAAGAAAGCCAAATCTTTTCAAACAGCCTGCATGTTATTAGCAACAACAATAAAAACTCAACCTAAAAATACACTGCTGCTTAGGTGCAGGAAACCAAGCTAGCTGGACCATAGATGATAAAGGCCTGAAAAGGATTGCTACAGGAGGTAACGGAGATTGTAGAGAATGATGGACAAACAGCTTCACCAAAAATAGTAGGTCTGGCATAGCTGAAGAACTCAGTCAAAGAAACAACAAGAGATGACATTTGGGGCTAACTGGCAAATAAAAACAAGTTACCAAGTTCTGATGGTATACACAAGAGACTTCTAAAGGATCCACAAATGAAGTGTGATCACTTAAGAGAAATACACAATTTCACTGAAGCTGGCATTCATACGGGGGAAACGTAATACCCATTTTAAAAAAGGAATTCACCAAGAACCAGGAAATTACAAGACAGCTTAGTTTCTGCTCCACACAAACTAGTGAAAAGCTTTATTAAACATCGATACATTAAGAATACAGTAGAACAAATACTGCACAGGGAGAACTAACAAGGTTTCTTTATCTGAAGAAGTGTGCATGCACATGAAAGCTAATACCCAGATTTAATATTCATTGGTCCTAAACTGGACTCAAACTTTGTTTTGTAAATGGAAGTTCTGCCTCACCAAGCCTGTGGAGTTCTCTGAAAGCATCAAGTAAGTATGTGGATACCACTGTCCCAACAGATGTTGTTATACTTTAACTCCCAAGCAGCTTTTGACAAAAGTTCCTCATCAAAAGCTCCTGAGTAAATTTAGCAGTCACCGCATAATAAGATGGGTCTTCTTGTAGATTAGAAGCTGGATAAACAGGGAACACAGAGTAGGAACAGACAGTTTTCATGATCTGAAAACACATGCAGACTACATTGGGAGGCAAGGGCATGTTAAATGGGTGGAAATCCTTCCGTCTGTGGAAACAGTCCAGTGGATCAAAGCCCAGAATTTCTCCTCCTCTCCCGCAGCTACAGAATTCAGGGTCATCTATTGAAGCAGACTGGCAACAGATTTAGTACAGATGCTTCTTTGTAAAATTTATAGGTAACTCATGAAATTTACTGCCATAAGACAATGGAGATGGCCACTAGCTTTAAAAAGGGATCAGACAAATTCATGAAACAGAGACTAAACGGATATTAGTCAAGATGCTGAATAAAAACATCCATGCTATCTCATGCTACCAGCAGACCCCAAGGAGGCTGTGAAAACTCTGAACAGGTATAGAAGCAGTTTTGGAATGGGTGAGAGCTAATAAGCTAAAAGCTGATCCTGACAAAATGGAGGTGCTATTGGTGGTGGTGGGGAAGGTCTGAAGGGGAAGGTTATCCTGTGTTCTGCATGAGATAATTCTTCCCCTAAAGGAGCCAATTTGCAGCTTTATGCACTCCTAGATCCTGGCCTCCTGCTTGATACACAGGCGGCACTGGTGGTGAGCCAGCTGTGGCCCTTCCTAGGCAGAAAAGATCTTGTCACTGTGATGCATGTCCTCGTAACATCTAGAATAGATTGCTGCAATGCAATCTACATGGGGCTGCCCTTGACGACTGTCTGGAAGCTCCAGTTGGTGCAGACTGCTGTGACCAAAATGTTGACTGGAGTTGTTCGTAGGGACCATATCACTCCAGTCTTGTTCCATCTACACTAGCTTCCAATTTACTTCCAGGCTCAATTCAAGGTGCTGGTACTAACCTTTAGAACCCTGTACAGCCTGGAAACAACATATCTTAAGGGCCACCTTCTCCATATGAACCTACCCACTCACTCCGGTCATCTTCAGAGGCCCTGTTCAGTTCCTTCTGAGGCTAGATAGGTAGCAATCTGAGACAGGGCTTTCTCTGTCATGGCACCAAAACTTTGAAAATCCCTCCCCAGGGAGATTTGTCTGTCTACTGGTGTCTTCCCCCAGTGGGTGAAGACTTCTTTGTTTTGTTTGGCATACCGCCCAGTAACAGTTATTGGCCCTCCTCTTGTATTGTTTGTTATGTGTTTTTATTTATGGAAACAGACTTACTTATGTCTCTGGGCTTGGTAACCTCTCCCTGTGGCTGAATAGGCATAAAAACACCCTTTATTTGGTCACTGAAACCAAGCAGCATTACTTTCCCAGAACAAGACAATGAGCCAACTTTTTGGAACAGGTAGTGCTTCAGAAGATCCCAGGAGGCTTCCTTTGTATCCACATAGAGTGTCATTTGGAAGGAAACATTTAGGTAGTAAGAGGATGCTAGGCTCGGAACTGCCCGTGTATCCATTTTATAGTTGGACAGCCTCCTATGGCACCTACGTCATGACTGGCCCCGCCAGTTTATGATGGGACCTACTACTCTTTTTCAAAACTGGCTCAACCAAGGTCAGGGATTCCTGATCTATATCTGCCTCCTTGCGGTCACGCTGGTCCACAGAAGGGCAAACCACTTGAGTACTTGAACATAATCCAATTTAGACCCACTAAATTCAGAATAAGGACCCAGTCCAAACTCCTCCACCCTCCAATGGACTTTAGGGGATCTTAAAATTACACAGGAGAACCTAACAAAGTGCGATCTGGCTCACAAAAGGACATGCCACAACATATTCGTTAGTCTTTCAGATGCACCAAAACTCTTATATTAGTTTCATGCACATCTCTACCCGGAAATAAATCCCACTGTGTCCAACGGGGCTAACAGGAGCGCCACCGGACTGCCTGCCCGCCCAAGAGAGTAACATTTGCGCGCACACTTCCCCGTGAGGAGGCTCAGTGAGCCCCCCCCCCCCCCCCCCCGCCCCGCGGGCGCTTCAATGTTCAACATCCAACAGAGGTGTTGTCAGTAGCACCTGAAAGCACACCGGCCCTTGACCCGGCCCTTGTTCCATAGACGCAGTCGGAGAGTGAGAGCCACCAAAGGGAGCGGCCCAAACAAGCAGGCAAAGCGCGCAGCCATCCTCATCCTGACGATGCGGGTATGAAGCAGGCAAAAATGCCGTCCAGCGCCACAGCGGCCTTCTCCAACGAGGGGCCTCGGATGCCTTCGTTCGCTGCTTCCTCATCCCTGACCTGCTGCTCAAAGGCCTGGCGGAGAAGGCAGCGAGAGGCGACGGGGACAGGCCCAGACTTACCGCTCTAGAAGTTCTCCGCTCGACACAAGCAGTACCCCGCGCACAGACTCTCCTTCAACGGCGGTGGCGGTGGCGCACTCCTAATGCGTCATCAGAGCTGGCCGCAACCACTCTTTTTTGGTTACCGCGGGCACCAGCTTTCTTAAGGGCAAGGGCGGGAAGTGAGAGAAAAGCAGATAGGAAGGCCGCTCAAAAGCGCGCAGGCGCACTGAAGGAACCAGGGCCCTTTGTTCCCTACCAAAGAGGTGAGTCGTACGCCATACACTGACGCCCCACATCAACGAGCTTCCAAGCGCTGTCTGGCTTCTAGTGACGCCAGTTGAATGCAGATGTTACACGCATCCTCTACGCTAGTCAAATGGCCTGAGCACCACGGATAAGGGGGCGAGTTATAACATCTCGTCTTTTCCTGCCCCCCTTTTATCCCAAGTAGAAATTAAGTGGTTAAGACTGTCAGACTAGTATCTAGGAGACAAGGTTTCGAATCCCCACTCCTGATATGAAAGCTCGCTGGGTGACCTTGGGCCAGTTACACTCTCTCAGCCTAACCTAGTTTACAGGTAGATTCAAGTGAGCAGCCCTGATGGTCTGAAGCAACAGAACAAAGTCTATAAGTCCAGTGGCACCTTTAAAACCACTTCTTCTGATGAAGTGTGCATGCACACGAACGTTTATACCCAAAATCAAACTTTGTTGGTCTTGAAGGTGCCACCGGGTAATTATTGTGAGGATAAAACGGAGGAGAGGAGAAGCGCCTTTGGACCCCATTGGGGGAGAAAGACAGGGTCCAAATGAATTAAATAAAGTCTGGGCTCATGTTTTTGTTTTTTTAAAGAAGATGGCCGTACTGATCTGAGTCCAGTTAGTAGCCTCTTAGAAACCAACACTTTCAGGGTGTAAGCTTTCGAGACTCAAAGTTCCCTTCACCAGAGGTAGGAATGGAGTCTTTGTTGTCGCTGTTCTTGTTCCTTTTGTGGGACGTAGGGAGCTTTGACTCTCGATTTTTTTATTATATATGCTGAAATTATTATATTTGCTGAAATGCGGTTTTTTTCTACGACATCTCGGTCAAGGAAAGGGCCTGGCTATCGAGTGAACGGAAGCACCACTACTAGGAATCCGTCTAGTCCCGAGTAAAGAATGTTGATTTGGATACTCTCTAGCCCGTACTCCGCCACTCTAACCACGTGACTTCCCACCGCCCAGGAATGCTGGTATTAGAGATGAGAAACCCTAGAACGGTATTTCCGGTGTGAACTGGGTTCTACCTTTACTGTCGAAAGCAAACCAGGGAGGGTTTTTAACCATAGAGATGCTACGGAGTTCGACGGCGTCTCCACACCCAAGGCCCATTGGCTACCTTCAATGTCTGTATATGCTAGGCTACTTCCGCCTCTACGGTACGGCACACAATGCCTCCGGAATTGTAGGACCCGCTGAAAGTGGTCCCACTAGTTCCGGTTCCGGGTCTGCCATCTTGCCGTGATACAGCAGCGGCCGCAAGAGGCGTGGAGAGTGGTCGGTTCCTGGAGCAACGATGCTGTCAACCGCTGGCTACGTCGAATCGGCTCTCGGGTTGGGGCGTGAGGCTGTCGGGGGTGCCGTCACACGGCACCGCTTCTCTCCCTACACCTTCAATGGCGGGTGAGTCGCTGCCTGGTTGCCTAAGCAGGAAGAGGTCTTGGGGTACCGGAAAGGCTGACGGAATGATGGTGGTCTGGATTCCACTTGGTCAGGTGCAAGGAGTGGCCCACTAAAGCTGACGGTGGCACGAGTAATTGGCTAGTCTTGAAGGCGCTTTAAGGCGGAATTATTTCGGTTTCTGTTACAGCAAGCTAACATGGCTCCCCTTGTGTTTCGTTTCTGAGGCCAATCTGTTCCCGTCGAATCCCATCCGCTACTATCTGGGGTCTCTGGCCAAAATGATAGGAGTTGTTCCCTTTTCAGTCTCTTCCGCTCCCGGTGGTCTGTTTGTTCTACAGCACCTGTTGCCTAAGATGTTTTAGATCTGGTGTTGCACAAAATACTTCTCCTGCTCTCCTTCTGTTGTTGGCTTTTATTATTTCTTAAGGCATCCCCAAAAAGTACCTTTTGCCTTTTTGTTTCACTTACTCTTCTCCCCCAGTTTAAATTGTACTGGTGTTTAATTACAAAATCAGTTTTATTCTCCTCTTCTGCTACAGGTGTTTTAGGTGGCCCTTTTCTTTGTCTATACCAAGTTGGCTATTTTAGGTGTTTAAAAAACAAACAAATCTTGGAGGTGTTTCTTCCAATTGAAATCTGTTAGTTGAGGTCTTCATTTGTGGATTCATATGTCAGTTCAGTATCTGCTTTTATTTTGGCATTGTGCTGTGTACTTCTGTTTCTGTTCTTAAAAAGACGAGGGCAAGTGGCCACACAGCATGGTTTTACTGATGTGCTGAGGATCCTTGTAGCCCAGCAACAGGGGACAGGACAGAGGGCTGTGAATGGTGCTTTAAGGTTGCATTATACTTTTGAACAAAATTGCTGAAACATAACTCGTGCCATATTGTGGTGTGCCTCTGATCTACTCATGAATTGCTTATTGTGGTAAATGTTATATGTCTGGTGTGCCTCTGATCTACTCATGAATTGGTCATTAAGGAGAGAACTACAGAATATGCATCAATCTAGGGCTGGTTTCTTGGTGTTCTTGTTTTCTTGGGGTGTGGCTGGTATGATCAGCAAGTGCATTCTGATAAGTCACGTGATGTAATCACAGTTCACACAGTTCACCCAAAGCTAAGCCCTCCTATCTTCCCCCTCTTGCTTTTAAAGAACTGTGTTGGCAATTGCTGGCGAAGACTTCTCTATTGTTGCTTCAGACACTCGGCTGAGTGAAGACTATGCAGTTCATACCCGGGACAGCCCAAAATGCTACAAACTGTAAGTTTCTCTGAAAACTAAAAATATATATGTATAGTAGTGAAAATTATCCTATCTTGGATGTGTGTGTATGAGTTTACGGTATCTTTTGAAAAGAAAGCTTTATTGACATAATATTTTAATTTGATTTCTTTGATAAGCTTGAGTATATCTCACATCCTCTCTCTCTCTCTGGACAACTAACTACAGTAATGGTAGCAAAAGTAATTTGTTGTAAAGAGATTTGCTTGTTCCATATATGCTTTACCTCAGAATCATGGTCCCTCACCCTGCTCTGATTCTGTCTTGCACAATGGTCTTTAAATATAAGTAAAACTATACAGGTATGAATTTATTTCATTATATAGTCTTTAGGATAATGTATGCCCTGTATAGAACAGCGTTCCGTGCGCCTTGGCATTTAGTTATGGCGGCCACATGACCACAGAGAAGTGTTTGGACAGCGCTGGCTCTTCAGCTTGGAAATGGAGTTTAGCACTGCCCCCTAGAGTTGGATTTGACTAGCTTTCAAGCAAGGGAAACCTTTTACCTTTACCTATGCTCTGTGTAGATCCAATGTGGTTATATTCTCTGACTAGAATCCAAATATCTGTGCAGCATACTTGAGCCCAGGAAGTTTTGCAGGTGATATATCTCATGCAGCAACCCTCCCTGTACCAAGTGACAGACTGCCTCTAAAACTGAGGAGACTTTAAAAGTTAATTTACTGGTCAAAGGAAGGAAATATCCCAGTGGGTATTCCTACATCCTTGAGCACAAACCTTAAATAACTTTCAGCCCTGGTTTCTGTCTTTTAGTAGGCTATGCAAGTGCCTTAGAAAGCCATCCCACTCCATGGGATGCATATAAACATCAGACTGTTGAAACTCCACTAAAATGAATGGGAACTGTATGGTAGGGATGCTTGGAGTGTTGTATCCTTTGAACATCCATTCAGTGTTCTTTGAAAGCAGTGATATTTCTGTGCATTCTTATGTGCAGGAACAAGTCCCTGGGCTGATTCATCTGTGTGCTACTGCCACTCTTCCTCCATGGCGATTGCAGATGCTTGTGATCTCATAGAGAAGGATGTAAATGTGTGAACCATATGCACACATGGACAAGTGCAAATTGAATTGCTGCAATTATGCATTATATGCAAATACTTCCAATGTGTATAGCATTGCCTTCTTGTACTTTCATGTGCAGTGATGGCAGTATTCATGCACATGTATGCCAGTTCTTAGTCCGGCATCTTGCGAATTAAATTTGTAATTCCTAAAATTGGTTTCTGAAATATTGATGAATGCTTAGATGATGTTGTTTGTAGGTGATAACATCTGATCAATTTAACAAACAACTCTTTTTAAGAACATGTTATAGAGATCGTTTAAAACAATACCAATGTCATGTCTTACAGGACAGAGAAAACCGTCATTGGTTGCAGTGGATTTCATGGAGACTGTCTTACTCTTACTAAAATTATTGAAGCAAGATTAAAGGTAGATATTATTGTGAATGTCTTGCAGTTAAGGTGATCAAACACTAGTAAAAATCAGATAAGAAAACAGTAGTTGAAGTCTAGAAGTTTCTTTAGGCACAGTGATAAATGTAATTTTTAAAAAATCAGTCATTTTGGGTTTTTCCTCTGTACAGCTATAGTGAAGCATTGTACTAAAGTTTTGCAGCATGAATTTGCTGGAGTTTTTCTGTGACCTAAAGTTTTGGTGTTTTTTTAAATCTCTGGTATCTAAAAATGAAATGGTAAATAAAAATGAAACATTGTTTTAGTGTAAAATTTACAGTATCAGGCAATAATAGTTGATTCCAAAAAGTTTCCTCTTTGTGAGCTGAAATTGCAACCAAGATGTACAGCGCTCCTTTCTCAGCAATAAAAGTACAGCGAACGGAGAGATTGCTGTTTAATGACATTCATTTGATGTGACTGCTTAATTTTGTCTGATGTAGAGCTGCACTCCTGATCCATTGCATGCTCTGCTGCTGCTGATTACAGTGAAGTATTTACTATCCAGTCCTGTCCATTTTGACAGCCTTATCATTGATTTCAGATGTACAAGCATTCCAATAACAAGACTATGAGTTCAGGGGCCATTGCAGCCATGCTCTCTACAATTCTCTACTCACGACGCTTCTTTCCTTACTACGTTTACAACATAATCGGTGGACTGGATGAAGAAGGTAAACTTCCGTGTGCTCTTACTTAAGGTACAAGGAAATGTTTCTCTTGTAGGCAGCTGCCAGTAACTTTTGGTTGGCAAAGGAAGACGCTGGTGAAGATTGTATTGTTTAGGTGAATACAGCATTCAATGAAGTAGTACTTTCTGGAAAAAAATGTGCAAGATTTTTTTTTTTTTTACATTATCCACTGAGAAATGGTGACAGTTCTGGAATTTACTTGGTTATTTATTTATTTTATTTTATTTATACCCTGCCCTCCCCGCCAAGGCAGGCTCAGGGCGGCTTACAACAATCATAAATACAATTAAATACAGTTAAAAACCTATCGTTAGCATAAATTACTTAAGATAACAATCCTTTAAAATATAGGACATAAAATGCTGGGACATACTTAAGCAGCAGGAGCCTCAGATCTTAGAACATAATTTAGGTAACTGTTAGAGGTCAGTGCTTTCACACCAGTCCAGTTCTCATTTATTATGTGGTGAGGACAGGTTGGGAAACACGATGGCAGACCCAAGTTACAGACTGGGGAGCCAGGGCACAGGGTCACTCCTCGGTGTGTACTGCAGCTCCTTAGTCAAACGCCTGGTGGAAGAGCTCCGTTTTGCAGGCCCTGCAGAACTGTAGAAGGTCCCGCAGGGCCCTGATCTCTTCTGGGAGCTCATTCCACCAGGCTGGAGCCCCCACTGAGAAGGCCCTGGCCCTGGTTACTGCCAGCCTGACATCCCTAGGGCCTGAGAGGGCCAGCTGATTTTGTGCCCCTGAACTCAGTGCTCTCCGGTGAATGTGTGGGAAAGGGGGTCCCTCAGGTACACCGGACCCTGACCATATAGAGCTTTAAAAGTTAAAACCAGCACCTTGAAATGAATCCGGTATGCTATTGGCAGCCAGTGCAGTGCTTTCAGTACCAGCTAGATGTGCTCCCGCATGGGGATATTCATCAACAGCCTGGCCGCCGCATTCTGCCTCCAACCCTGAAGCCCCCCTCCCCAGCCACAGAACTGCTGTCTTCCCCAGATTATCTCAGCCTGCTCTTTGTGAACCATCCCACCACAGCCTCTAAGCCCTCAACCAGATTTTCCGGGGTGTTATCCGGGTAGCCGTCCAAGACCAAATACAGCTGGGTGTCATCCACATATTGGTGACACCCAAGCCCGAAATTCCGAGCCAGTTGAGTGAGGGGGCACATATAGATGTTAAACAACATCGGGGAAAGGACTGCCCCCTGAGGAACTCCACATAACAGTGGGTACCTAGAGGACGTCTCCTCCCCACAACACTACCCTCTGTTCCCGACAGCAGAGGAATGAGAAAAATCATTGCAGGGCTACCCCATGAACCCCCATGTTGGTGAGGCAATGGGCCAAAATATCATAATTGACCATGTTGAATGCTGCCATGAGGTCAAGTAACAATAGCAGCATTAACCTGCCTCAATCCAGCTGCCTATGGAGATTGTCTGTTAGGGCGACCAACACCATCTCTGTCTTGTAGCCTGGGTGTAAGCAAGACTGGAATGGATCCAATGCTGATGTGTCATCCAGGAAACACTGGAGCTGCTCAGCTACCATGGTCTCAATTACCTTGCCCAGGAACGGTAATTTAAATACTGGGCGGTAATTCACCAATTCTGCTGGATCCAGTGATGGCTTTTTTAAGAGGGGATGAACCTGATCATATCCTGAAGTCCTGATCATATCATGAAGTACTACCCGGACTGTTTCGACTTAGGCACAGGATCTCTGTCTTTGTTGGATTCAATTTTAATCAACTCAGTCTAAGCCAGCCAGCCACAGCCTGCAGTGCCTGGTCCAGATCTTCTGGTGTGGAGTAAGTTCTTCAGTTCTAGATACGTGAGTTGTTCCCTTTGTCAACAGTGAAAAGGTCTTAGTACAGTGGCTCTCTAGGCGCATGGCATTACAGTCTCTTTTAAGTAGGGCATATGCCAGAATGCACAACTGACCAGTATCCGGTTATTCTTTGGTATCCCTAATATATTCCTTACTTGGGACAGGGGCATGATCATGTTCTCTTTGCAATTATGTGCCCCATCGTTTCTAATCTTGGGCGCTCCATCTCATCTTGCTGGGGGAAAAACATTCCTGTAACAAGTATAGTAGTATATGAGGGCTGAGATTAACTTCCTTATTCCTTGCATATGGCCTATTGTCAGTTTTTCTTTTTCACTTTTTAAGGGAAAGGCGCTGTGTACAGTTTTGACCCAGTAGGTTCCTACCAGAGAGACACTTTCAAAGCTGGTGGATCGGCCAGTGCTATGCTGCAGCCTCTGCTGGACAACCAGGTAAAAGTTCCGTCATGACTCTGTGCTGCCTCGGCAAATCGGTAGCTTGGTTTGTCTGGAACATTTCAAAAATTCTTATGGGCCTGTTTGGCTTTCAGTAGTTTGTTCTTAACAGGCAATAAAGAATTAAAAAAAAACCTTAGTGCTGAGACTCTCTGCATCCATTTGATAATAGCTGGTTGCCTGACAGCTTATGCTCAGTGGGAATTGCCTTCAGGTGGCTGATACCGGGTAGCTTTGATGTAGGTGTTGTGTGAGCAGGCAAGCTAGTAAATGTTTCTATGGACATGTGTAAAAGGTTGTGTGTTGCTAGGGAAGTCTAAAAAACAGCACCGGCATAGACATAGAATGGGATGTACCAAGTCACCCGAGTAGAAGGGAAATAGGATAGTTCTACCCCTGCTGTGACCCTCTTTGCTTGTTTTCCTATTCCTTTTTTTATTTGGAGAGGAAAGCACTTTCTCTGTTTTGGAATGTTTTCATGCAATGCAGTCGAGTGATGAATGCACTCATCACATGACCACTTAAACCTATGGAACTCTGGCAGTCATGATTGGTTGTCATGGTAACACTTAATGGGCTCATCTTTCAGATGTCTGCTAAGTGATGACTGTAATGTAAGGATTCCAGTGGGACAGTTGTGTTAGTCTCTTGGAACAAAAATAAACAGGAGTCTTGTGGCACCTTAAAGACTAACAGCGTTTTATTTCCAGCATAGACTTTCATGGACTGGAGCCCACTTTGGCCTTTATTTCTCCTCCTTGTCCTCCTCTCCCAATGTAATCAGTGATTCTAGCATCCCCTCCCATGTCATATGGGCTTCCTTGTTCATTTTTTTGAGTCTTTATGCAAGCTGAATTAGTCTGTTAAACCTTGTGAACAGTTTTGATGTAATCCAGTGTTAAGATTCTGTAGTTTAGCCGGAAATTTTGCCCTATCAAATGAAAGCGAAGAACAATTACGTTACTGTCTTTATTTTCAAAGGTTGGCTTCAAGAACATGCAAAATGTGAAGCAGGTGCCTTTGTCTCTGGAAAAGGCTTTGCAGCTGGTAAAGGATGTCTTCATTTCTGCAGCAGAAAGAGATGTATACACTGGTGATGCACTAAAAATCTGCATCATCACAAAAGATGGAATTAAAGAGGAAAGTGTTCCATTACGAAGAGACTAAACCTGTGCTTGGTTCAGTTAAAGTCTTCAGTGTGTAATCTTAATTTTTATGCATGCTGTTTACTGGTATTATGATGACAGTTGATGTATTAAAAAAGGAACAAATTTGTCTTTCATAATTATTCTATGGCTCATATGGTGTGAATATGATCATACATGTCCTTGCACTATGGAATTCGGGATCAGTTGTATATACTGCTAAATAGAACAACATAAAGGGAATACTGTACCTACAACCCTTAAGATGAATGACAATAGTGAGATACTTACAACACCCCAAGGATCACTGCACAGGGTGCCCCTCTCCCAGTTACACATTGAGAAAAGTTCTGCTCTGCTTCCTGTAGTCATTTACTCTGCAACAGCCTGGCTTCCACATACTTTATAGTGAAGAGTGGGTTTTTTTGTTCTTAAAGCTACACTAGGAAATCATACTTTAGATCGTTTCTACTTGTTATAAGCCACCTTGAGCCATCCAGCTCAGAGCATGCCCTAAAAATAATTTATTGTTGAACAGTTCTTAATAGTTCAAAGCAGGCCTCCTGCATGGTATGAAATGATTCATGGAGCATTAAGTGTTTATGCATTGGCTGAGAGATGCACCTGTCCCCCGACTTGCAAGAACCTTTTAAAAGTATGTTTTTATCCATGTGCAGCCCATTTTATCAGATATGTATGGTAGTTCTTCACTAGAAAAGTATGTATGATTGCAGAGAAAAAAAGTTGTGTAAAATACAGTAATTGTGTCAAATATAAATTGGTAGCATTGTAATTTCCCTTGTACCTTCACCACAGTCACATACTCTGTCAGAGTATGGTATCTTAACACCTGTAATGCATGAGAAATCCCACATCTTGGGTATGACCTTACGACAGGGTGTCGCATTACTTGGTACCACTTCAAGATTTAAATTTTAGAGTCTCAGGGAAGACAATTGGAATCTGAAGAACAGTCTAACGACTTGCACACAAAAATCCCCTGAAGGAAAAAGAATGGGAATAGTTGGCATGTATAGAATATTGTAATGTAACTTTGTGTATTAAAATTCTGGTAGCTGTTATCTCTAGGTTAGGAACTATAAGGCTTTTCCTTCAATCATGATTAAGAGAAAACTATAAAGTGCTTTCTGTAGAAAGCGTTGCTGCTAAATGTTATTGTTCCTTAGAAAAAACCTTCAGTGTGCTTTTACTCTAGTTCAGTTATGCAGGTAATTAGAGCAGTGCCCCATGCTGGTTTATGTATGACATCCACAATTCGTGATGCAGCAGCTTTGCAAAAATTTTCCATCTCATGGGTTGTAAATTATGACTTTAGAAAAGCCCTAGCCAACCTCCACCATTTGCACAGATTGGATTAATCAGTCACTCATCACCAAGTCTTTTACAGTAATACTATCTACCTCATACAGCTTCTTAACTTATTAGCTCTAAGCAGATTACTAAAATATAGGAAAAGCTAGACTCCATTTGAATGGCTGTGAAAATCTATCACAGATGCAAAATGATTCACACCAAAGAGAATGATAGGTCTGCTAATATCCTCTAATAAAAGAGGTAATGTCTACATATGATCTATATTTTGGAGCAAAGGAAGAATTAAAAGATTTCTAGGCTTAGAAAAGTAATTACATCCAAAGGCCACATGATACAGGGTGTCTACACTACCTGCACGACAGTTTCATACTCTTATCATAGTATGATATCTTACGATACCTCCCTTGCAAAACTAGATGGTAGGGCATTCAGGCGCACCAACATAAAAGCATGCCTATAGTGAGGAACAGTCAAATATGAGCAGTAATTGGGAAGCCCTCCAGCTGGAAGAATACCAGCAAATTGAGTAGAAAAAACATGCTGTGCTCTACAGATTGTACTGTTATAATCATACTTATGTAGACATTTCGTTCTTATGGCTCCCTGCCTGGTAACTGAATAAAGGAAGTCCAAAGAAAGATTGAGGAACTTAAGTCATTGCTCTACAAGTTTATCCCAGTGGGAAACATAAGAGTCCTCCTTGACTAAGCCAAGGTAGCCCTCTGGAATGGCAGAGTATAACTTTGAGGGGGAAAGTCTTCAACTGAGCCCACGCTTCAAGAGATGGTCCAATTCAGTTCAGAGGGCCATCCCTGCTACACAATCTGGAATTCTGCAGGTGGAATGTAGGAATTTAAAAACTGAATCCAAGGACTCCCCTAGTTTGTCAATCCAGATACCAGTCCCATATAAACTTTGTGTGGCCACCTTGGCATTAACAGGTTGATGGTGGCTGGGATATACTGACCCCAGATGAATAAAAGAAACCACAGATAATATTTGATGCTTCCGTAGCCAATCTTTTAAAATGAGCATCTTGCACTGACCAAGTTAATCTCTGGTTAAACAAGCCCCATAGTATTTAAAATGAGGGACCTCCTCAACATAATTATCGTGAATTTTCCACTTGGGGTGTACATGAGATTTTTCTCAAAAACAACGATTTTTTTATTTTGATAGTTAACTATCAGGCATTCTTTCAGACAGTAAGAGACAAAGCCTCTATCAGGACAGTCTTGATGTTGTTCTTGATAGGAGAACCTCATCATCAGCAAAAAAGAATAGAAACTTTAATGTTAGCAATAGATGGAGAATAACAGTTCTGGGCAGAGACAGCAGAAATCATATCATTGATACATAAATTAAATAAAGCGACCAGCACACACCCCTGAAGCACACCCTGCTGTAGAGAAATTATGTCAGAAAGTTGTCCATACCTGTAGCAGATTTGTGCAGTGGGATTAGAATCCGTGTTCCTTCTAAGCTGAGTTAATGTGAGCTAGCTCGCAGTTTTTTAGCCTCTGGCTCACACATTTTTGTCTCTGCTCAAGAAGGATGGCTCCAGAGCAAACTAATTTATGCAGTAGCCAAATCGCTCGCTCACAACTTTAATGCCAGTAGCTCACAAAGTAGAATTTTTGCTCACAAGACTCCACAGTTTAGAGGGAGCATTGGAATACAGACTCTCAAAGCCAACAGTTTATTGTCAGTAGATGTTTGTTTTAGCTTATGCCACAAATGGGCGCACGGTATGGTATCAAAAGCCACCGTCAAATCCATGAAGGCAGCAGCAAGGATCCCCCGACTCTTGGTTGTTTATTTCTTGATTAAGAACTGTAGTGTCAGAAGATGATGATCTGTACCAGCCCTGCGCCTAAAACCAGCCTGTTCCCTTCCTAAGATTTTATTAGTTTCCAACCAATCCATGAGTCGGAAATAAAGGGAGAGAGTGTAAAGCTTCCTGTCCACTCATAAAAGACTGATTGGCCTGTAGTTGGATGGGTCCACTTAGTCTCCCTTCTTATAAATTGGTATTATGATAGCATGTCTCCAGGCAAGTGGCATAACTTCGATCACATTTATCTGAGTGAATACAGTTGCCAATATACCCTTCCACCATGAGATACTGGCTTTGAAGAGTTCTGGGGGAATTAAACCTTCACCAGGGGCCTTCTCATTTTTCACTTGAAAAATTAGAAAACTAATTTTAGCTGGTCGAACAGGGGGCCAATCCTTTAGTTCAGCTAAGTTCCAATTACTCTGATAATCGTAGTTACTACAAGAACTAGTGAAGATATTAGCAAGGTGTTACTCCCAGGTATGCAAGAAGATATGAGATGAAAGTGGCTCCTGTAAAATCTGTCCTCAAAAACTGGTTAATCATGTTCTGAAAGCAGCGGAGTCCAAACTTAGTGACACAGTTGACCATTAGGTGGCATTATTGTTCCTTTCAAGTGATGCCTTTTTTCAGCTGCGTATCTGAAGCAGTAAGCTAGAAGATGGTTTTGATGCATTATTAAAAAAATACAATGACATCACATACCATTACAAAGAATATATCACCTAAAACTATGTTCAGTCACATAATTGTCCATACAATGAAACATCAGTCTTTATTCATCTAAACAGTGTGCAGTGGATTGGAAAACTGCAAATTCTATTTTGTACGATTAACTGCCAACCTAGCAGTTTGAAAGCAAGAAATTACAAGTAGATAAATAGGTACCACTTCAGTGGGAGGGTAACAGCGTTCCGTGTTCCTTGGTGTTTAGTCATGCCGGCCACATGACCACGGAAATGTCTTCGGACAGCGCTGGCTCTTCGGCTTTGAAACGGAGATGAGCACCGCAACCCTAGAGTCGGATTCGACTGGCTTTCGAGCAAGGGAACCTTTACCTTTACGATTAAGTTAACTTGTTTTATTAATTTAACCTTCTTAATGGAAAACAAGTAGGAGACAACGTAAAAGCAAAACATGACTGAAAAGGGACTCCCCCTAATGTCCTTCTGAACAATGTTGGCCTGTTACTTACTTATTTGTGTTATTTATAGTCTGCCTTTCTCACTGGTGCTCCAGGTACATTGCATAGTGTAAGCCAAATACAACCAACAGGATGGGACATTCAGCAAAGAACGCAATAGGGATCAGACTTCAGATATCTGAAAACAAGTAGAAATCCAAAAAAGAGCCGAAACAAACTTGAAACAAAGCATAAGCATTTAAGCAGGACATGCTAAATGGCGTAGAAATGACATAGAACATGTTTACAGTGAAAGGCAGCAACACAGGATAGGCCACAGTGAAATGAGAATGTGCGTTCCGTGTTGTGGAATGGCCTGCCTGAGGATGTAAGGTTGCCAAGCCCCTCTTCGGGGTGGGGGGATCCCATGCCCCAGCGGGCACTCCCTGCCACCGCTCAGCTAGCCCACAGGGAAAAAAAATGGCTTCAAAACGGGGAAGGAATCAACAGCGTACTGACTTCACTCCCTGTTCACCTGGAAGTGACGACAGTAAGTCACTGGGGGACGCGCTGGTATTTGGGCAAAATGTCAGAGTATCACTGGCTTTGCTAGCAATACACAGATCATTTCCAGTGCACACAGGAACTGATGTCAGTGCGTCACCAGTGAAATCAGAGTGTCACTGGCAAAGGCCTCTACCAGTTGCCAGGGGGACCTGGCCAACCTATGGAGGAGGTCAGAAAGGCTCCCCATATTTCTGTCATTTCACTGGTTGTGTAAAACAATTGTTCAGGAGGACATTTTTAGAAAGGAAATAAAGCTATAGTACAATGGAATTGATCAGGAGGCTGCCCTTATAAAGGGAATGGGATTGTAGCCTATTCCACTATTATATGTATTTATCTTGCTCTTATAGCACTTATAGTCTTATAGTTTTCCCACGTTAGTAATTCCATTTTTTGCATTGTTCATGACATACCATGTCCGATACTTTCCCGCTGGATGTTTCTAATATTTATGATCCTAGTCCTCTGTATGGTATGTTGGATGTTGGAGAGCCAGTTTGGTATAGAGAGCCAGTTTGGTGTAGTGGTTAAGTGCGCGGACTCTAATCTGGGAGAACCGGGTTTGATTCCCCACTCCTCCATTTGCACCTGGCTGGATGACCTTGGGCAAGCCGTAGTTCTGATAACAGCTGTTCTTGAAAAAGAGCAGTTTCTGTGAGAGCTCTCTCAGCCCCACCTACCTCACAGGGTGTCTGTTGTGGGGACACGCTTATTGTAAGCTTGTCAACATCCTTCCTAAAATATGGTGCCCAAAACTGGACACAGTACTACAGGTGAGGCCTGACCATAGCAGAATAGAGCGCAACTACCACCTCCCGTGATCTGGACACAATGCTGCTGTTAATGCATCGTAAGATTGCATTAACTTTCTTCGCAGTCACATCACACTGCAGGCTCATGTTTAGCTTGTGATTAACCAGAACACCTAGACCCCTTTCACATGTGCTGCTGTCAAGCCAAGTCCCTCCCATTCTATATCTGTGCTTTTGATTTTTTGTACCTAAGTGTAAGACTTTGCACTTCTCTCTATTGAAATTCATTTTATTTGTCTCAGCCCACTGTTCCAGCCTATCTAGATCATTTTGAATCCTGACTCTGTCTTCTTCAGAATTAGCAATCCCACCCAGCTTCAT